CCGGCGGGGTTAGTGTGGAACGCGCGCAGAAGGGGGCCGACCGAAAGAATGTTTCCACTTCGGATCCGACCGAGCCGGCCGCTGCCACCGCCGCTGATCCGACCGAACCAAACCAGTCTTCAGTATACGCGCACACACTCGGCCGTTCCGTCTTGCGATACGTGTGTGCGGTAGTAGAGTTATTTCGCGTGCGTGTGTACATCGTAGTCGTCGATCCGCCGTAGTTTTCTACCCTGCACGTACAAGGGCGCGATATATTATCATTATAACGATCCGACGAGTCGTGATTTTTAATTTTTTTTTGTCGTTTTTAACCGTTCGCTAGTGTTCGCATGTGCGCATTTTATTCGCGTGTGCGCACACGCCAAACTCTGGTATCTTTCCGCGTTTAAGATTTTTACTGAATAATAATAATAATATAGTACTACAGTGGCTTTGATTCCGGACCGAAGTGACCGTCGTCGTCGACGTCGCCGCCGCACATGGATTACGGTAGTGCTGTGAGTGTAGTTTTTAGTAAAGTGTTCAGTGGTACCTATGTGAAAGAGCGTACCTATTYAGGTGCGCGCGCGCGAATGTAATGACCGGGTGATACGGTGTGAAAGGGGTCAYCCCTCGCATAATGTCATGGATCGCCGTGATATGCGTAGTGTTGGCGTTGGTGGTAGGACCGTCGTCGATGGTTTGCGCCAGCGGCGATGTGGACAACAACGCTCGGGTTCAGCTGGAAGTGTTAGAGGGCCAGCCGAAAGGCACAGCCGTAGGGCGGATACCGGTCAGGCCAGGGTTCGCGTACAGGTTCAACGAGCCGTCCGACGAATTCATACTGAACGCCACCACCGGCGAGATATCCACGGCGCAGATACTGGACAGGGAGTCGCTGTCCAATGACAGGTACGACCTGATTGTGCTGTCCAGCCAGCCTACCTACCCGATCGAGGTTCGCATATTAGTAGCCGACGTCAACGATAACGCGCCCGAATTTCCGGAGCCGGTCATATCTGTATCGTTCCCGGAAAGTGCGGCACCCGACAATAAGGTGCTCCTAGATACAGCCACAGACAAGGACGCGGGCGCTAACGGTGTGTCGTCTGATTATCGGATTGTTGCCGGCAATGTGGATGATAAGTTCCGGTTGGATATCACGTCCAACCCGAGTGGCGATCTCACGTATTTGTATCTGCAGACTACCGGAAAACTGGACCGGGAATCCGTGTCGTTCTATCAGCTCAACATATCCGTACGCGACGGTGGTGTACCTACCAGGTATGGTTACCAGACGGTCAACGTTACCATACTAGATGTCAACGACAACCCGCCGGTATTCGCGCATACGGATTACAGTGCGTGGTTGAACGAGAGCGCGCCGCCGGGTACGTTCGCGCTACAGGTGACGGCCACGGACGCCGATCTGGGTGAAAACGGCCGGATCGTATACTATTTGCCGGAAACATCGGACACACGGTTCCGCGTTGACCCGGAAACAGGTGCCATATACACGACGGAAGTTCCCGACTGTCCGCAACAGAACTGCCCACACACCCAGCAGTCGAGGGCATCGTGTCCGAAGAGCTGCGTGTTTACTGTTCACGCTCGAGACCACGGATCACCTAGACAGGACGGCCGGGCCTACGTCACCATAAGTTTGATCGACGCCAATGATCACGACCCGGTAATAAGGTTCCGGTATTTCCCAGCGAACGCGGCGTACGCGACGGTAGACGAAAATGCGATCAACGGTTCCGTGGTCGCCGCCGTGTCTGTTATGGATCCTGACGAGGGGCTCAATGGTGAAACGACCATAGAAATCATATCTGGTAACGAGATGAATCATTTCCGATTGGAATCGTCGCAGAGCTTYTACATTGTTCGCGTTCACGGCGTTTTGGACAGGGARCAGATTAATAAATATAATCTTACCGTGTTGGCCAGTGACAAAGGGACCCCTGCCAGGACCACTATGGCATATCTACTGATATACGTCAATGACATCAATGACCATGAACCGGTATTTGAAAAAAGTGAATACTCGTCGACACTAAGCGAACTGTCGCCTGTGGGCACGTACGTGGCCAGCATTACGGCCACTGACGAAGACACCGGTATAAACGCTCAGATTTACTACTCGATTGTGTCAGGTAACGCTTTCGGATGGTTTGACATTGATCCGGATACCGGATTAGTGACACTCAAAGGGCGACTAGACCGCGAACAAATGGGTGCCGCGGAGATAAAAATTTCAGCTCGAGACGGTGGCCCTAATCCCAAATGGGCGTACACACAATTAAAAGTTATTGTTTTGGACGAAAATGACGAACGACCTGAATTTACACAAGAATTAATTGTTGTAAAAATGTTGGAAAATGTACCGGAAAATACTTTAGTAGCCATGTTGACGGCATCAGATCACGATCAAGGCACCAATGGTAGTGTGTCATACAGTTTACATCCTGAAGTCCAGTACAAGTATAAGGGTGCGTTCGCGCTCGATTCGTTGACAGGTCAATTAACAGCTAAAACACAACTTGACAGAGAAAAGGTACTRGAATACAAAATCAAAGTATTAGCCAAAGACCAAGGATCTCCGCCCAAATCATCCACAGCTACTGTCATACTTGATGTGCTAGACGTTAATGATAATGATCCTGTGTTCTATCCACAACAATATGTAGCATTTGTTGGCGATAATCATTCGACCGGCTCTAGTATTCTTACGGTTTCAGCATATGATATTGACGAAGGAGAAAACGCAGTTGTTGAATATCGATTAGCTAGTGGCGGTGACTCGGGCCTTTTTTATATTGACGCACGTGATGGATCGATTTACTTGAAGAGCAGTGGAGATCTTACGAAATCTATATATCGTCTAAACGTAACAGCGGTAGATAGAGATGGYCGGCGAGCAGCTGAAGATGCATATGTAGAAATCATAAAAAATGCCGATGAAACACTCAAGTTCGACACAGCTGAGGGATATTCGTTTCAAATTTACGAAGACCACAGTGGCCAAGAAGATCCGATTTCAAATCGACAAGTGGGTCGGGTTCGAGTTAAAGACATTAAAGCCGATGTGGCTTATTTCATATTGAATGGTGATAATGGAAATTTCCGGGTAGATAGAAACGGAGTCTTAACAACATGGAAGAAAATCGATCGGGAAAATCAGTCATTTTACAGTATACGTATTGGAGCGCGGGCTGGTCTAAAGTTTGGTTCTGCTTTGGTAAATGTAACTATCTTGGATGTAAACGACAATGAACCTAAATTTGTCACAGTAATCGACGAAGTGGATCTTTACGAAAATACTGCCGTCGGACAAGAATTGTGTGTAGCAAGGGCTAAGGACAAGGATGTTGGGTTGAATGGCCGGGTAACTTACCGATTGGTATCCAAACCTGACAGCCTGTTTCGTATCACCGAATCGTCCGGAATCGTGTATCTGCATAAGCCGGTATATACAGCCCCAGGCACCGTAATAGCCGCCGAAATTATAGCCACTGACTCTGGCAATCCCCCACTCAGTGCTAAACATGTAGTTYTATTCACTATTCAAGATGTAAATGATCATACTCCTGTATTCGATCAAACTTCATACGAATCGTCACTTTCCGAAGCTACTGCCGTCAATAGTAGATTTTTTGGTTTAACAGCTACGGATGGAGATTATGGTTCCAATGCTAGATTATCATACGCCATTGAAGAAGGAGACGTGGAAGGAAATTTCGGAATTTTTCCGGATGGAATGTTATACATCAAACATCGTCTGGACAGGGAAAGCAGAGATTATTACGCACTCTCTGTAGTAGTTCGAGACGCGGGCACACCAGCTCGTAGTTCATCTGTAGTGGCCATCGTACATGTGACCGATGAGAACGACAATAAACCGGAATTTGCCAAAATCACATTTGATTTTCACATCAACGAAAATGAACCAGCTGGTACATTTGTGGGTAAATTATCGGCTACTGATCGGGACACGGGTCGAAACGCCGAGTTGACATACTCTCTAATCAATTGTAAAACGGACTTTTGGATCGATCCAAAAAATGGGTTCATCAGGACTCAGCGGGAATTTGACAGAGAACAGTTGATCCGGGCTACAGGTCAAAATGTTATTACATTGGAAGCTACAGTTTCAGATAACGGAAAACACCCACTTTATGATAAAACTAAGGTGAACGTCTATGTAAATGATGTAAACGATAATCGACCACGATTTTTCCGACAACCTTATCGAGTACAAGTGTCAGAAGGGTCACCAGTTGGTACGCATGTGTTACGAGTATATACAACTGACGAAGACGATGGGCAAAACGGTGCTGTGCATTACACCATGGAGGACGGGGATGATGACAAATTTAGAATTGACAATGGAACTGGTATGATTACAATCAATGCGCTTCTGGACAGGGAGTCACGTGCATTATACATGTTACGAGTTACTGCACACGATAACGGCACGAATGTGCGACTTAACGCTTCGGCAACAGTCACCGTAGAAGTATTAGACGATAACGACAATCCGCCAAAATTCGAGTCTCCTCCGTCGGGCGTGTCAATTTTTGAGAACGCTACGGTGAACACCGAATTAGTTCGATTCCGCGCTACTGATCCAGATTTAGGTGTGAATAGTGAAGTACRTTATTCTATAGTATCTGGTAATCGACGTGATACATTTCATATCGATATTGTTACCGGTGTACTGTATTTGCACAAGCGACTTGATTATGAAGACATCAGCGCATACGTGTTAAACATTTCTGCTTACGATAATGGCAACCCCAGGCTGTCCTCAGCACTAGCGTTCCACGTAACTGTTTTGGACTGTAATGACAATCCACCTCAGTTTCCAAGTACGGCCATTGTACGACAAATCGTTGAAAATCTGGAACCKGGMACGTCCATCGTACATGTGGTCGCCGACGACCCGGACTCTGAACTAAATGGTCTGGTACACTATTCTATTACACAACAACAACCAGATAATGATAGGCGAAGTTTTAAAATAAACGAAAAGACGGGCGTGATAAGCACTGTGTTACCCATCGATAGGGAATACGTGGATACGTATAGACTAACTGTCACAGCAATTGACCAAGCCRTGCCAGTGGAAACTCGGCTGTCAGCTGAAAAAACTGTTACTATTATAGTGGATGACGAAAACGACAACGCTCCCGTGTTTGTTTCTGTGGACACCGGACTAATACGGGCCAAGCACGCCGGTGCACTTATCATGCATGCTCTGGCTAGAGACATGGACACTAGTACAAACGGGCTGGTGACCTATGAAATGGTAGGCGGTGACTCGGAACTATTTTCCATACATCGAACATCGGGAGCAATCAGTTTGCGCCGCGAGTTGACCCGGCCAGAAAGGTCGTACAAGCTGACGGTGCGTGCCACAGACGAGGCGGTGCAGTCGGAACGAAAGTCGACCGACGCCTACATCACTCTACTAACGGACACAGATGGCGTTGATAAGCTGGCTGACCTGAGGGACTATGAAGGGTCCGTATACGAAAATGAACCATTGGGCACAAGCGTGCTGAGGATGGACCCGTTGCCCGGGCAAATTGAATACTACGTGGTGAACGTGACCGGGTTCAACGGGCAGCAGGCGGATCGGATGTTTTCCGTAGACGTTAAACTGGGCGTGCTTTACACGGCCGCGATGCTGGACAGGGAGGGTGGCGCCGACCAGTACGTTGTGCACGTTTATGCTACTAACGTTGGATCGCAGACACCGAAAACCGGTCACATTCAGGTATTTTTTTATTTATTTATTTTTTTTTATCCTACAACTTCTCCTTCTCCTCTTTTTTGCTCTTCTACTTCGCGTCTCGGCGTCCGAAACTTTATCATTATTGTTATTATTGTTCGCTTACTGTATGATTTATTCGATTCGCTAGGCTGCAATTAGCTAGGCATTCCGGATTTTGGTAGACCGCGGTGAGTTCAAAGTGGATCAGTAGTAGTCGACGAGTTACCTATTCCTGTGTAGTGTGTGGGGGACGGTTACAGGGGGTCCGCTGCAGAAGTCTTGAAATTTGTTTAGAACAATGGAATGTACGTAACACGCGGACCCGTCTACTGTGCATTTAAGTATTGTGTATGTTCGGTGGGGAGGGAGGGTCGAGTTGGGACATAATTGTTTTTATGTCATTTCTCATTACGTGAATTTCATTATATATATCTACCGTGAATTTGTTATTTTTAGAAAAAAAATTGTCTTTTAAAATTAAACATACTTAAAATATTATAATATACTAGAACTCTTATTATTGATACTATTAAGCTTTATAGAATTTATTTGATTCGTTATTCTAAATTTGGCGCAACAAATCGATTGAAATATGAGTAAGTACAATAACATTTGAAGTTGTAAACAAACTATATATTCATTATAGATTTGTAAAATGCATGTAAAAAATTAATATTTTATACGATCACATAAGGTATTATTACTCGGAACTGTGGGGTTATGTGTTAACAAAAAATAATAATAATGCAATATAAATAATATAGGTAATGCATTTTTATTGCTGTTAAATTGTATTTTTACGTATATGTAGGAGCATATTGTGTATTAGGGTAATTATATTTGTTTAATGTTTGAGTAGATACCTTATATTTTACTTTCATTTTCTTATTTTAAAAATATTAAGTTTACTTATCCTTCGAAATTTTAATGTTTACATTGCTCAGAACAGGTAATAAGGTTTTGCTCAGCCGACAAATACATGTCATAAATATCAGTGTCATTATTATCACATTTATTGGTTACCTTTATACAAACAACGAACATTTACTTGACAATTTATGATATTACGCTGCCGGAGTTTTGRAAATCGCGACCCTTTTTAACTGTAATTTTATGAACATGTTGAACACGTTATTTATGTATAAAAAAACAACGTTTTTTTCCGTTTATTTTTTACCCTATTTGTACGCCGCGTGCCGGTACCGAAGAATTAATGCGTCTTTGTACAGCGCGAGGCACGGCGAATGAATATAACTCCCAATCTATTGCTGCTCAGCCACTTCGTCAGTTGTCTTAACCCGACGCAAATCCATTGGATGATTAAATACAAAGCAGACAGCTCATTCGACGATATATATATATATATATATATTTAGCGAACTGACGTTGGTACCATTATAATATATTATAATATTCACAAATATTTCTAAAACCGGCCTATGGAGCACCGGCATACTAGAGAATTGGACGTGTAAAATAGCTTTGAATATGTATAGATATATAATACTATCGTCGGCTAATCCTTTGGATAACTGTTCCATTTGGTCCGTGTAAACCCGTGTAACTTTAAAATGTCAAGGTTCGAACTGGCAGTCCGTGTGTGAGTTTGGGATGCTTACATGACGTCTATAAAAACCATGAAACATATCTTTTTATTTACTAATATTATTTTGGCACGGTGTACAAGAATTTATGATTTTATGGTTTTTTTTTATGTTACTAGCTAATAAACTATATAATTTCAAAACCATCGGAAATTAAGTTTACTTTTGAAGAATAATTGTTAACGATTGTTAATATTTTAAAACTATTTTTTATGTTCCGATAGTCACCGGTATTTCCTTAACTTAATTAATCGTAAAATTTAATAGCATCGTTTATCTTTCCGACTTTAACACGATCAGATCTATCAGAACATACTATTTAAATTTACAACTAATTTTCATCTGCCTATAAATCGTATTGAAAAACTGGCTTAATTGACTAACAAATTAGAAAAATTTACGGAGTATTAAATCTCGCGATTGGTAGTGTATAATGCACTATACGTATATATATATATACATATAAATGATATATATCTTGTACATAAATTATAAACGTTTTGGAAAAATATGATTTTATGATTTAAAATACAATTATTAACTATCGATATAGGTAATCGATGATAAATTAATTAAGAATTTCATTTGATATCTTTGTTATAGGTGTATAATATTATACGTAAAAATGTAATTTTATCACAATGCAAAACCAATTCTATAATATCCTTATATCTGGTTACAATATACCTAATTATTTATTCATTCTACATATCTATTAGTATATTACCTATTATGTGTAAATAAATGTTTTGTATAAAAGCAATTATAACGTAATGCAATGTTTAATTTTCTATATGAAAATATATTGATATTATATTGGTAGTTATGTAATGTAAACCTCGTAGTACATTTTAAAAGTCAAATAAAAATAAAATTCTAGTCCCAATATGTTATTAACATTTAAAATTGTATTTTACCACAGGTGTAAAAAGTTATTGTAAGCCCAATTGTTTATTTGATATATGATATCCGGCCTTTGAAAATGTCGCGCCGGTTGAGGGAATAAATCCCTATTCAATAATAATATTATTCTACCAGCTGGGTACGTACAGCGCGGGCCATAAAAATATCTACACACAAAGAGTTTAGAACACAATTCCAACAGAAGCAGATGTTCAATTGAAAAATTTGGCTCGCGCTTGAGCGTGATTTTTATTGTATAAATTGTCAAATCATAAAATTGTTGATTATTATGTAGGGGTATTTTAACTTAGAGGGGAATTATGTATGTGTTAACCCTTCAAGCCCCTCCCTGAATATACGCCCATATATGAGTTGTCTGTCAATTGCATAAACTGCCATATTGGAATGCGTATATATAACTCGTCAGATAAATATGGTTAGAGTATACTCAACATCTGTACAAAAAAAAAAAACTTTACTTACGAAGGTGAACAATGAACAGTACAGTATCCTCTTATGGATTAAACTATTATTACACGCAATTCCGAAAGTAAATGACTATCCTTTAAGGAGTTAAAACACCTTGAGTTTTTTTCTTATTTTTACTCATTAGAAATCAAATGCTTTATACAATGGCGTGTTGGATCAAATTAAAAAATATTTTATTTTTTTCATGTTTTGCAATGTGTATTATATATTTTTATTTTTATTCTACTCAACATTATAATATTGTATCTGTACGGCCGTCTATAAAATACAAAAATATTGTTTTCAAATAACCTCAAAGAAACACGATTATTGTATTTACGTATATATTATTATCTGTTATAATAAATTATCATCATTATATTATAGTTTTAATTTAAAAAAAAGGATATACTGATATACATATAACATATATATATATATTATATATATGGGTATATTTACCTACTTGATAAAATATGTGCTTTGTATCATGTACGTTTACGGGTACCTATAAATAATAATAATTCGTTGAAATAAAAAATGTTTATAACGTTCATTGAATTTATTATATTTACTATTTAGTATTATGTTATTGGTAACAACACAAGACGGTTAAAATGGTTGCGTGTCCGTAGAATTTGAATAACCCTTTATAATTTTTATGTTACTATTATTTTTAATATTTAATATAATATAATATACCTGCTATATTGGTACTTAACTTAATATAAAATATATAAAAAAACAATATTATGTTATTTTTTTTTATATAAAATAAATTTTTTCTTTTAAAAATGTATAATTTCAAAGCGTATCCGATGTTGTTAGCATTATTATAGTGGTGCATAAAAAAAAGTGAATTTATAATATCATCTCGTCTATAACCATGCTCAATAATAATGTATATATAGATATATCAGTATGCTAATGTGCACGAGAGTGCTTTAGAGTTATCGTAATCGGAGTGTCTAATAAAAATAGTTTTTAACCATTTTGTATTGGAATAGGGCGATAATAAATGTAAAAYATGTTTATTGACAAACCCGCGAAGTTAATTAGAAAAATTACCACTAAAAAAGATCGCACGGCTTTCGGTCATTTAGTAATTATGCAACTGCAGATGGACGTATATTTTAGAGTTTAKCATTTTTGGTTTCATCTTGGCGTACAGCTAAAAGATAGCATCGGTGCGATGGAAACACTTATTWTATAACGATAAATTAAACTGACAGTTGAAGATTTTGCTATGTTTTTATTATATGGTCGCGTATGTTATAAAGAGTTATCTGTGAAAATATTTAAGACATATTATAAGTATGKAACTATACAAGTAACTCTGGGCACTTTCGAAGTTCAAAAACCACATGACATATTATAGACACGTATATAATAGAAACGTCCGATAAAAATAATTCGAGAATGTTTTTTTTATAAAGATCAACTCGCATATACCATAAAAATATATTATGAATCTACCACTTCCGAGGCTTTTGCAAAACGACACAATTATTCCGTTTTTCATTTTAACGACTTATGTGATAACATTGAATAAACGGGGCTAGACGTTGATTTTAATCACAAGGAATTGAATAGATTCAACATTTTGGACACGCCCACATTCTCACGATAGCGTCTGAATAATATTTTCCTTTTCTTGCTCCCCATTGGCGAACACTGCACGCTACAGACCGCAAATACGCCTAAAGGTACTGATTTCAAACTTATAAGAAACAGGACCACTATACGGTACATACACTCACTGAATGTGCATAATATAATGTACATTTTTATTTTAGTTTTCGTATTATATACGGAGATCGTCAAAAAAAAAAAAACTGTGGTTAATCATCATAATTAATAGTGCAATAATTGTATGGGTTCGTATTGGTTGACTATTAAATATTATAATACCGGCGGCATGCAGTTTTCGTATTTATTGTGGTTTTTATTTTCTATACATATTATACCTACTCTCGTAGGCATCCATACGCATCATATGCACACGCACGTACGTGTATGCATTATAGT